TCTGGCGGCACTCCTTCTTGTAGTCACGCCAATAGTACACCTGTGTGGCCAGATCCTGCCAATGGGAGGGGGTGGGGAATTGAAGGTATGGGAGATGAAGCTCCGCTCCTGGCGACCTCTGAGGGACAAGTATGATGTGTTAGCACACACCGTAGCTGAGAAAGGCCCTCAATGCCAACATGCTATGGGTGTGGCTGACGATACAGGCATGAGGCCCTGACTCACTGTGCCGAACGCATGCAGTGTCACTGGCTTGTCCACCAGCTTGGTGCTTGGCTTGATGCCTTTCTTGATCTTTTCAGGAACCTGAGGCGGAAAAGTCAGGATACCGCCTAACTATGCTGCTCTCCCAAAAGGATTGTTGCATCAAAGGGACCAAGGTGATGTCAAGCTTGGGACGGGGAGCTTGAGGGCAAAAGGCTGGTGTGTATGACACAACATCCTTGCCAGGCTCTTTGATCCCGAACTTTGGCAGGGCCATTTCTGAGGTTGGCGGCTTCTGCTCTTCCATGTCGCAACTTAGCAGAGCAAGGGCAGTGACACAAAGAAGACATGTTTGGGTTTGAGGGCGCGGCTCACTCAACTCGTCCACTGGTTGGAGGGCCATTGGCGCTGCAACCGAAGCTCTAGGGCCGGGCCAGCTCGGGGAAAAGGAGCAAAAGGGGCTGAGAAAGAAACGAGGCTACAGCGACCCCAGAAAAGAGACCCTAGAAAAAAAAACACCACATGAGGCAACCAAGCTCAAAATCCAAACCCCTTGATGTAAGCCAAAACCCTAGATAGCTGGATCTCGAATTATATAGAGATACTTTAAAAACAAAAAACGGAAAGGAGAGTAATTTGTCGAGTGGGCCCAAAGGTGATGTTCAAGGCCACCCCTTTTGAGCGGGAAATCCACTTCAAGCTGCGGATTGGCCCCATGGCGCAAGCTTCTTTTTTTCTTTAAATGGACTGTTGTCCTCAAGGAACCCGGGAGGGTCTCAAAATTCGGTCCCTGTAAAGTCCATTGCCCAAAAGCGAGTCTCCGAAAGATTCCGCCTACAAATAGGTGGTGTGCGAAGGCTCCATGCTCTGCAGAGTTCTTTGGGCTTCCCAAAATAGCGATCCAAAAAGGGGATCCATTTTGTTCTGAGACGTGACGAGCCCTATCTGAGCAGTGATGCCTCTAGGGACATTGAAAATTGTCACAAGCACGCACTGAGCGAGGATCGCACAAAGGGTGGCGCCCCTTTGAAACCCAGCCTGAAGTTTGGAGGCTTAGAGCCATGGCTTCCGTTTGCTGGTTGTTTTGTTCGTGTTTGAACGTTTTTCTAGTCGATTTTGGAGGGACATGTACATGACTGGGAAATGCGCTCTTTTTTCAGCTCCAAAACTGCTGAGAAATAGGCAGACTGTTTTGAAGCATGGCAAAGCGGATATGATCCTGTGAGTGAGCATCCCTTCAACAAAGTCAGGGGGTGACAAAGATCAGAGATCCGAGTCAGGGGACGGGGGAAGGCAGGGACAAAGCAAAATGTTGAAGACCGGACCGGAAGATGTAGGATAGTCCCAGCCGATGAGACAGCAACCCGTATGTACGACCTGTTTGCCGATACCAGTATGCCCTGAAGTGGCATGGTTGTTTTGCAGTCTGGAGTTGTGCACTCAGCAATTGCAAATGTGGGCACTGTACAAATGACGAATTAAGCAAGAGTGACTGCACAACCCAAAACAATTGTACCTACTGCTAGTTGTGCATGTAGATCATAGTCCTGTCAGATGCATCCGATCCAGGGAACCCCTTTGCCAACAGCCTGAGCAAAGCCAATGGCATGCCAAGAGCAGGGTCCATTGCCATTCGCTCGAAAACTCGGTGAACAATTTCATCACTGTCATACATCCAGCAATGCAAGGATGATTTGGTTTCCCCAGCCTTGCACCATGGGAAGACCTTTGAGTCACTGCATCATGAGTCACTGTAGTTGTGCAAATCGGAGTGGATGACTGCTTGCCCCAGGCGGTTGCGGCGGCCTGCCCATAGTACTCCTCCGCATCCTTTCGGTGGTAGAAGACCCGCCCTTCGGGGCTCACCATGACCTCAGATTCAGACAGGGTCGAGTGAGCCGAGTGGCAAGTGACAAAACCTGTGGAGGTCTTGGAAAAGGGAAGGGGCCAACAGTTTGCCAGCATGGCTTGCCAAAACCACAACCTCCTAATGACCAGCCGGTTGGACCCCGGACAGTACATGTTGGCCCCGCAATAAACATCAACTGGTCAGAGCAGATTTCTTGCGGTGGGCCCCCCAAGGCGCCAAGCATTGCCTCCAAAGGGTTGCACCCCATTTTATCAACATCAACCCGGGTACATTGGGATCCCATTGCGGTGATGTGCAGCCTATCCAATTGACAAGGGCCTTTTTTCAAAGGTTTCGATGCGATCTCTCTCTCTCTCTCTCTGTCCCTCTCTCTGCTTGCCATTTGGCCGCATCCCATGGCTGTGAGGGCTTCTTAACAAGGGACCCTCACAAGAGACATCCAAAACTGAAGAAGTCCCAAGACCTTGAGGGAGCGGCCGTGTAGGTCCCGCCCCCGGTGGTCTTCTTGAACTTCTTGGGGTTGGTGGCCTTGACGCCCTGCCCCCAGTCGTCCGGCAGCCAGGGCTGGCCTCGATCCAGTCCAGTCCGGTGATCTGCCCGAAGAGTGGGCCATGCTTGGATGGGAATTTGGCGTACAACCATGCATGTGGCACCACCAAGATTGGAATTTCGGGATTTTGGAAGTTTGGCGTACTGTGAAGCCAGATTTAGCCATCATAGGAGTAACATACCAGGTGCTTGGCGAAATCAGATTTGGCCATGAAGTTGCACAACTTGCACGTTCAGTGTCACCCTAAACCATCCCCTGCTTGACATGGAAAATATGAAGCCCTCCACCGCTCCACTTGTCCTCTCAACCTGGGGACATTAGCCCCTCTGATGGCCCTGAGGTCTTGACGATGGAAGTCCACGATGATTTCCTGGCGTCGGCCCCGGAACAATCCGCAATTCGTGCGTCACGACTTCGACCCCGAACCTCCCAAACAAAAATCAACATGATTTTCCCAAAAGAGTTTCTGCTCCTCTTAAAATGGATGGGTTTGCTGGGTTCCGTGTTCATGTGCAGTGTCTCGCTTGGCTAGAATGATTCGCAGCCAATCAGAAATGGACCCCCAAGAGCGGAACCTTGGAGGTCGCGAACCAAAACCTTTGAGGTCGCTGAGACAATTGCCTTTGTCTAAAGGCTCACTTACATACCTCCAAACAACCCAAATCATGGTAGCTATACCGGGGCACTTGGAATATGAGTGTGTCTCAGTCAATTTTTTGCGCAGAGTGCCGCAAGAAGGCATCCCACCGCAATTCCCGATCCGCATCAAATGGAGGTCTCTTCATACACTGCTGCCAAAGAAGACATAAAATAAAAACACAAGCGATGGTGAACGCGCAAAAAACAAATAAGCTGTGGTATTGGACCATCCCGAAGCCTGCACATTTGGCTCGGTTTCGAGCGCCAAGTCTTGGAGGGTACACATTTGAGGTTTTGTGGCTCACTACTGGGTCCACTAAAGTGACATCCTCAAAACTACCTTCCTCTAAATGGTCCAAAACCACTAGCAATTTTGAGAACCCCTCAAAATGCAACCATTTTCAGTTGGACCCCAGTTTTCCTTAGGTTCCCTAAACATCTTCATGCAAACTGCTCCAATTCGGTCGTGCCTTGCCCTCCAAGGTCTTCCACTTGGCGGGGTTCACGCCCTTCGTCGGCTTCAAGGGGTATCCCGCGCGATCTTTCAGGGCCACCTGGCAGCCCAATTGGGTGAGTTGGTACCCTTTTTTTGGGGGTCGCTTTAAAACACTTATTTTGAGACAAACTTAGTTGGTGGTTTGGATTTTGGTATGGAGGTTGGGGATGGGTTCCTAGTTGCCCTCTCAAATCCAATCCAAGCCACCAATCCAAGCCACCAATTTGGGAGAAGCTGAGTGAACTGAAAGGTTAAACAAGAAGAACAGCTCCCTTGTTGGTTGACAATTTTAAGGCTGGTTGATTTCATGTTTAATACATTGCAGGTAGCAAATTTGGGGTGAGGAACATCTTTGGTTGAGAACCCACCAAGTAAACTGGTATCAACCAGCAATCAGCTATGACGGTGGTAAAGCAGCGGAGTTTTCGCAAGGTAACATGACAAGCACCCATTTTTTGCGGATGCCCAAGTCTAGCGGGGAACCCCGAAAGGTAGCGAAACAAACCGGCACCCTGTTGGGTTGGTTTGCAGCAAACTCGAAGGGGTCTCGAGGGTGCCGCTGAACAAAACTCAGACGCCTGGGTCAAAAACCGAACCCCGGCAAAGGACTTCAAAACATGTCAGATCCAAAACGAGGCTTCGTTGGGCTAAGCTGTTCAATCTGAAAGGTTGGCCCATCCTCTAATCCTTCATGGCAATATGTGAAGCCGCTACAACAGGGGTTTCCATAACCCCAAGGCTCTTGCGCATTACCTTTAGCAGCCCCAAAGCGACATGGCGCAGCTGCGTGTACTGTCGTTGTAGGAACGGCTGTCTGATCAGTGCGTCAAACGCTATTGGAGGAGACTGTGAACAGAAGGCCTGATGAGAAAGTCGATGGGCTGGCTCCAACTGCAAAAAATGTCGCTAAATCAAGCAAGACCTGTTAAGATGATTTGTGCCATGATCAAAACCAAATGTGGTGCCCTAGGAACCCCTTCGGATGGCTTCCGGTTTTCTGCAGGTTGACCATCTCCATCTCTTCGGCGGCCAAATGTTCTAACTCGGCGCCACTTCGCAATGCAGTGCCATAGTTGTTAAACAAACAACAAGTTTAAGCCCCTCACGCGCAAACTTCTAAGCATTCATCTGCAAGTGACCTGAACCGAACTCTGTATAAAACAACAAAGCCCTGCCACTGAGCCTGACGACCTCTTGCAGAGCGGCTCTTTCTGGACGAATTGATTCTGCAGTCCATGCTCTCAGTATCCGGGCGGGAAGCCTCCCACTTGCCCCATCTCCTGCACTGGGGTGCCGTTGCAAACGTATCCGATCCTGAGCTTCATGAGCAATCCCTTCTCCCCCTGCAGGGTTGGGCAAAATTCGATCTTGAGCAACTAACCCCTGGTCCAATTCCTCCCAAAGGACTTTCGTTTAACAGTTTGGTGGTTTGAGCCACGGTGTAACAGGGTTCCTTACAGGATTCATTTTGGCCAAGTTCAAAACCGCCTTAGCGGTGTCAAACAGTTTGGACATGTGGGTATGTGTCAAAATAGGAGAACACCCCCCCAAAAAAAGAAAGAAAGAAGGAAAAGCAGAAAAAGTTAGGTTTCCTGTTGCTTTCAACTGAAAACCAACCAAGAAACGGTTCCCTCAAAACACACACGCACGTACACATGAACCCTCCAAGCTTCAAGGGACTCTGTTCCTACCAGTGGTATCGACCAACCACCAGCCCTCTCCTGAGTGGAGTTAACACATCTCATGGTCTGTGTGACCAGCTCGGTCTGTGGAGGCAACACCTGCCCCGTGGCCGGCTGGATGCTCAGCGTGATGAACTTGGGCACTGCCGCCTGAAGCCGATTGGGTTGCAAAACTGATCGGCCTAGTAGCTCCTTTTGCTACTTTTAGGGAGCCTGTTTGCTAGTTTCGAGAAAGCTGCTTACGTGTACATTCATATACACAGAGATATTTATATGTGTATGTATATATACATCTATATATATATATATGCATATGGTACCCCCCCAAACAAGGGTAAAACCCCGCCCCAAGAGAAGTTGACTGTATTTACGCTACTTTTGAGGGATTTCGACCGCTTTTTCAGACACCTCAATTTTGACCATCTAACTATGCCTGCATCTGCGCAATTGACTGCAACTCTATCCGCCTGAAACGCTTTAAAGCGCTGTAAAGCACTGTTGGATCCAAGACTCAAGATTCAAGATTCCCAGACTCTTGTTTTTGAATCTTGAATCCAGTATGGGCCCACCCCAAAACGCGTTAAAGCGCTTTAAAGCACGTTTGGACCTTATATTCAATATTCAAGTTTCAGGACTCTTGCTTTTCAATCTTGAATCCAGTATGGGGCCCCCAAAACGCTTTAAAGCGCTTTAAAGCACTGTTGGATCCACGACTTAAGATTCAAGATTCCCAGGACTCTTGTGTTTGAATCTTGAATTCAGTATGGGCGCCCAAAACGCTTCAAAGCGCTTTAAAGCACTTTTGGACCTAAGACTCAGGATTTAAGATTCCAAAAGACTCTTGCTTTTGAATCTTGAATCCAGTATGCGGCCCCCAAAACGCTTTAAAGCGCTTTAAAGCACTGTTGGATCCACGACTTAAGATTCAAGATTCCCAGGACTCTTGTTTTTGCATCTTGAATCCATGAGCTACCTGGAATAAAGCGCTTTGGGGGCCTCATACTGAATTCAAGATTCAAAAACAAGTGTCCTGGGAACCTTGAATCTTAAATCTGTGTGCAATCTTGCACCCAAAGTGCTTTACAGCGCTTTAAAGCGCTTTGGGGGCCTATACTGGATTCAAGATTCAACATCTAGAGTTCTGGGAATCTTGAATCTTGAATCTGAAACCGAAAGCGCTTTAAAGTTTTTGCTTTCAGTCATTCCTGTTTGGTTGTGCACCTTGGTATTATTTTGGACTTGTGTGGGGTACATACAGTCGACAGTTCAGCATACTGTCATTGGACAGTTGATGATTGCACATATTTTAGGTGTCCACGCTAACCCTTGCATATTGAAACACACTGCAAATATCAGTGGTGTTCCTGCTTCTTAGCAGGCTTTGTGAACAGCGTGGCATTTTAGCATTTTGGGAAATTAGTCAAGCAAACAGCGTGGCATTGATCAAGGAATACAAGATGTGAGCAGATCTTTGGGTATTGGCCCAGGTTTGTGAGCTGACAAATGAAGGGGAATTGCAGATGAGTTGCAATCAGAGATGGAAGATGCGTAGCAGGCATGGAACAGGTTTTTAGGTTGGCAGACGAATAGGATTTGCACATCAGTTGAGATGAGAAATCGAACATGCGTAGGCGAAGCAGAAGAGGCATTGCTTGCTTTATTGTTCATACCCATGCGACGGTACTCTCACAGAGATGTTTGCAGTCAATTAAACGAGGATAACATTCGTGATGAAGACTATGAAAAACAAATCAATATGACCACATGTTAACAGCAACCCATGTGAGAACATGACGGTTTCTATGGCAAATGCTCTATCATTGACTAACATGATTGAACACTTCAGACATGTATGTATGACATTTGATGGCTTAGGCTTTGTGTATTATGACGCTTTACCTAGCTTCGCTTTTACAAAGTACCTAACTTTGCTTCTGATGCTATGTTGACATTAACTTGTGTTGACACATATTTAATTTATATGACCGAACGATGTATCAAATGATTGAGCAGCAGGAGGAATGCCACAAACATTCTGCAGGAATTAGAAGAGAATACTATTTAAAGTCTTAATGAATCACCCGCAAGTCTACCACATTGGAAAAGGAGCCCACTTTCGGTAACATCCATCTAAAATGACCTGACTTGCCATACACAAGCAGCAGACACGGTTTTTTGGTGGGGGGGGGTGCATATATATATATATACATATAGAGAGATAGATAGATAGATAGATAGATAGATAGATAGATGGATGGATGGATGGATAGATAGATAGATAGATAGATAGACAGATATGTGTCATATGTGTATATTCATAAAGTGTATAATTGAGAAATTATGTTTGCTATTATTGGCAGTGGTAGCAGTGGTAGCAGTGGTAGCAGCAGTAGCAGCAGCAGCAGCAGCAAAGGGAGCAGTAGCAGTACCAGTAGCAGTGGCAGCGGCAGCGTCAGTAGCGACAGCCGTGGCAAGCAGCGTGGCAGCAGCAACAGCAGCAACTACCAGTACTGGTAGTACTGGTAGTAGTACTAGTAGTACTGATAGTCGTACTGATTCGAGTAGTGATAGTAGTACTTATAGTAGTACTGATAGTAGTACTGATAGTAGTACTGACAGTAGTACTAGTAGTACTAGTACTACTAGCAGTACTAGTAGTACTAGTATCTTTACTATTATCACTTTTGCAATGTTGTTATTAGAGTATTGTTGCCATTATGTTCATCGGTAAAATCATCATCATAGTAGTATGATTACAATTTTTCTACAGACGCACACATGTATGTGTATGGCAATTGTATAGAGAGCTATTCTTGGAACAAAATGAGTTTAAGAGGACCGCGATGGCCTCGAAGACAAAGTTCGTCATGGGCACCGTCAGGCTGTTCGCGAATTTGGCCACAACCACCACGGAGCCGTCGCCCTCTTTGCGCGGGAACAAGGTTACCTTCAAGCCGTTCCTTGGTCGCGAGCGGCCTTTTGTTGCCGAATCGGAGGCAGCCGCGCAGCCGTGCATAAAACCACGGCGTCGAACAACAGGGTCAAAGAACCAGTCTTGGGGTGCACAAAAAGAAATGGGCTTGCACGGACATGGGCAAAACGGGTTCAGATGGGGATCACAAGGACCCGTTGATGAGAAGGACACAGCGACAGGGCATGCGTGCTTCCACACCATAATTCTAGATGAATCAAAGCAAACGTGTCAGCTTCCAAAAATAACCAGCGACCCTTAATGTTGTTTGCATCATCTTTCTGGCTTCTCTTTTCAGCTCCAACCCAAGAACATGGTTCCGGGTGTTGTTTGCCTGCCCGCAGCCCATGAAAAATGATCTGAGTGAGACATTTCCGGATGGTCGTCCAATTTCCATTTACCCTCCCTATACTTTGTCCTTAAACATCAAAGCTACCAAGGCAAACTCACTTTGAAGGGCCCTAAAAGGTCTGTTCAAAACCACCAAACAAGGAAATGGAAATGAATCCCTGCCCCACTTCACCAGTCTCGCGTCTTCTCAAAGGCCACCATCGGCGCTGCCTCCGCTGCCCCCGCTGCGCCCCCGCCCCCGCTGAAGATGTCCATCAGTGACCCGTCGGCGGGAGCCGCCGGACCCGGGGCCGGGGCCGGGGCGGCGACGCCGCCGTCCAAAAGATCCAGAAGATCTCCTGCCGGGTGACGCGTTGAATGCGTTCAAAGAAACGGGTTCAGTTGAACGCGCACATTGTCCTTCCGCTCACCTGATCGTCCGAAAACAAGGCTGTGACCCTTCCAGAAGGGTATGAACCAGGAAAAGATCAACAGAAAAGAACAACAAGAGAACACAATACCGTTTCCTATCTTTGGGGTGCCATCTTTCAGGCTCGGAGCAACCCGACACATGTAGCCCCAGGTTCAAAAAGAAAGTTGTGTTTGTGTAGGTTCTATGTCTGAAATTCTGAAGTATGCTCAAAGCCAAATGTGGAATACGTAGAATGGTGCGCTTCTCTATCATTGACGCGTCATAGTGGCAATAGGAAGGTAAGGCGTACACAAGCTCACTGCTATCTGTGCAAGTCATGCGTTCGGCCCAGCGAATGGCCGCCGCATTCTGCAGTTTGTGTGCCAAGCAGGACAATGGCACCAGCGGCGTGCACACTCCAAACACGAGGCGAGCGCTTGGCCCCAAAAAGTGACTGAAGCATTGTGCCGCCCCTGAGCGGTTCCTGCTGGGAGTGTCGATATACGCGTTTCTTTTGCAAGGGCCGATGGAAGAAGTTTTATCCAGTCACGCGTTCGACTGTGTGGAAGGCTAGCGTGCCTCTGGTTTCGTGCAGGCTAAGCAACATGACCCTGACCCATGCAGCTTGACATTTGCGGCAGGGGCAACCCAGAAAAGGCATCCAGGAGTTCTGTGCGGAGTTTGCCTTCGCACCCCTTCGGCAAGGAAACTTAGGCGTCTCTTTATGTTGAAAGACTATTTCAGGAGGTCGCTTCAGTTTCTTTCACCAGGAGGTCAAGCACCTTGGCCCAGGGCATACAACATGTTATATGCTCAGATTCTGCTCCTTGTTGAGTCTACCCCAAAATGTAACATATTTTGAGGACACACCCCTCCCACTCCTCCCCCGGACGGAGCGGCTGGGGCGGCTGGGGCGGACGGAGCGGATGGCGTTGACGTGCTGGGCCCGTCGAGCAGATCGTTCAGATCCAGGAGGTCCTGGGAGGGTTGACCAAGACCAAAAGTATTCTGTTGGCGATGTTTCGTGTTTATCTCTTGTTTTTGTTCGGGGGGGTACTTGCACATGCGCCCGTGAAAAAGATCCAAAAGAAAACCCAACAGCAAGATCAAGCAATGCCAAAGTCCTCCGCCAATCTTGAAGGAATTGCACCCCAGGAGAATGGCCAGCTATGGGGGAGGGAAGTCCGCAATCAACAACTATCTGCATCATAAGTTACAAGGGGTGATCCTTCAGTCTGTTTCACCCATCGTTCTGTGCAACTCCCGCAGGATCTTCGCAACTCCCGAAAACAAGGATCCTTGAAAAGAATGGGGAGCTCGGGAGAAGCACTGCTAGAATCATGCTTGCAAACCATTGTTTTGGGGAGCTGACCAACTCACAGTGGAAGCCCAAGCGAGCAGGTGATATTCCATGGATGCTTACGGTGCTCAGGACGTCATCAAGCCACAGGCTTGCGAGTTCGTACCGTCCAAGGCGGGAAAGCTGCTGAAGTGGTGCGCCAAGCCAGAGTTGTGTGATGTCCAGTCATGTTCCCTTTTGTGGCGGTGTGGGTGTTTCTAGAATTGGTGACCCGCGTGCCTTTTGCATGGCCTTTAGAAGGAAGCCACGCAAACAGCCAATGTTGGGCAAGCTTACACCTGTTTTTGCACTATACCCATATCATGACCATCCATGTACAACCATTTCTCCTAGGACTCCACCCGGATGGCCACAAACCTGGCAAATGAATACGGGGGGATGAAACTCGCAAAGTGAAGAATGCCCCCCATCGAAGGCCCCTGCACCGCCCCAGGTAGAGGGGCAGATGTTGTTTCTCGTGATCAACCCCACGCCATCCAACGAACCTCCAACCGCTGGTCCTTCTGGCCCCACGTGTTTACCATCAAAGTCACCCCCTAAGTGGAAGCTTAAATGGAACCCCACTTATCAAAGTTGCTTTGCCGTCTGTTTTGAGGGAAGCCTGTTTACCTTGCGGAAGACCAAAAGGAAAAACATCATCTTTTGAGGCCCGAGTTCTATTTTGACACATATGACCGTCTGTCCTTGGCGCCAGATCTGGGCTCCGCGGGCAGCCCTGGCGTCCTCGTGTGATCGACATCGACCGCCATGGTGTCGGCCCCGCCGATCTCCTCATGAGCCGGGGGCTCGGGAAGCGCTAGAAAAACCCAAGGCTCTGCCCAAATCGTCAGACAGCTTGATGCTGCTTTGAGGCGGTCTTCAAAACAGCGAGCACGTCCATGGAACTCTTTGTCCGTCAGAAAGGCTGTTTTTTATGTATTAATTCTTTGGGCCATCGCTGAACAACAACACAGCCCACGATGCGGGACGGATTGGCGATGCATCTTGTTTGTGGTTTGGAGGGGGAACCTGGCACTAAGAGGCTATCCGGCAGCACAAACCAAGGGAATAGTCCAAAGAAGGCAGTTGCAGAATAGACTCCGTATCCACCACGCGGGGCGGCAATCTGTTTTGAAACGCCGGTTGGCTTCAATCAAGAACCTGCCAAAAAGGAGCCCAGGGGAGCAGTCCCATGTTGAATGGCTGGACCTCAAAGGAGTGTATTGACACCCAACCTTCCCACCCTCCACCCCCACCCCCAGCCCAACAAAGAAAAGCCTCTAACTCCGCAGTGCCCCTTGACCCGACTCCCCCCAACGGTCCGTGGGTTCGTCCCTGATCTTTCCAAGAGGACCAAAAACTAGGGATCTTCAAAGCAAAGGGCCAAACAAAACCTGGTGATCCCAATAAAGGGGTCGGGACAAAAGCTAGGGATCCCCTAGCCAAAAAGAAGGGACTGAACAAAAGGGTTGGCACTGATTCGCATGTCTTGGGTATATTTTGAAGTAACTAGCTGTTCGTGGAAAAATGCCTCCTTCAACAGATTGATCTCCAACCTCTTTTGTTCCACAATGCTGAAACCCCCTCCAATTTGTTTACAAAGAGAACGGTTTTCACCAGTTTTGCCCCTTGTATTTGGATATGAGCTACACATGTTGTTTTCCTGGCAAGTTCCCCCTACAAAACACAACCGACCTGGACACCCCGACCCGACCAAACACCCGGCTTCGAATCTTCGGCTCGGCTCTTCGGCTCGGCTCGGCTCCTTCTCCGGCACGGGCATGCGGTCCAGGACCCCGGCGCGGTGGGCGTCCCAGTCCGGGCCCAGGAGCTCCAGGAACTCGCAGGACCGCTGCTGCAGGTCCACGTGCAGGCTGCTGTCGAACCTCGCGGCTCACGGCTCGGCGCTCGCTTTGTTTCTTTTTTTTTTGGGGGGGGGCCTTACTAATTAACTCTTGGGTTGGCCTTGGGTTCGTGTTTTTGAAGGGCAACCAAGAGCAACACCTCAACTTTTGAGGGGTGGCCTGTTTTCCGAGACAAACCCCGAAAGGAGCTTTTGGTGAGCGCTGTTGACACCCGAAAAGAAGGGGTTGAAACAAACACCGGTTTTTACCCTCTAGATGACTGGAAAGGACGTGGAGATTGTAGCAGTTTGAAAGAGGCAAAGTCAGTCACACCCTAAGGGGGGAACCCTACAGCTGGTTGTGACATCTCATTCCCGTGGCGCCTTTGTCGTTTTTTGAATCTTTAAGCCTACATCTTACTACCCCTTTGACCATCACCAGCCAAAAGAAACTCACTGAAAACAAATGGCTTTTCCGTTTGGTTACATTTACCAAGTGCAAAAGCCACCCTTTGCGGGAGAAACACGGGAATCCTCTTCAAGTCGCTGAATTGGAGAAGGCCAACCAGGAAGGGTTCGCCACTGCAACAGCCACCGGAATCGGTTTCAAATGGCTTTGTTTTGCCGTTCGCTGCTCGAGGTAGAGCTGAGGGCTACCCCCGATTCCGAGCCATGGCCAGTGCTGCAGGCCAGAGTTTTGGTTGTGCAAATAAAAAGGAGAAGACACACCTTATTTTGTGAGGGCAGCTCGGCCCTTTGCATCCTCTACTCGATGACACCTTCGACGACATTTTCAATGACAGCACAACAACGCTGGATACTTGTTAGCTCTGCCTTCCACCTTCTTGAAAGCTTGTGCGCCTGCGTTAGCGTGTTTCCTACGCTTTGGATTGTCCATGTTCGATCCAAGTGCGTGGGCGGTACCTGCAATACGCGCCTGAACCTGCTCTGCTCACTTCTCGTGACATTCATGAACTTTGTTGTCGACTGTTGTCAGTTAATGGTTAGCTTACTGCATTTGTCGAAGTTTGATTTCGCATTGTGCTCTGCTTTGCGGATTCTAGTTGGACATGCCGGAGTGGCTTGAAAGGGCTATGTCTCCAAAGTAGGAAACAACCTTGTGGGATCGTTGCAAAGGCAAACCAACAGACACCATTAAAAACCGACAAAACCAACCGGGATTGGGTTGGCCTCCGCAGCAGCTTCTTGATGCGCTCGAACTCGCTGGGGCACCTGGTCACCAGCTTCACCAAGGCTGCAGTCACCTTACACGTTGATGTTTCCCCCTTCAAAGGGGCACCCCCGCTTTCCAAAAAACAGAAAAAGGTTGAAACCTAGGGAAACAAATCGATCTGCCCAAACAATGGGAAACAAGGATGCATTAACAACATGGTGCCACCCTTCCCAGAAAAAATAAAGTAAACCTCGCAAAAGCATGTGCCACTTGCGACTGGGCGAACCAGGCAGTGGGTGGCGGCAGCCTTGTCGGCCGTAGGGGGCTTCCGCACAACGTCGTAGAGCAGATCCAAAACGTCGCTGGGGGCCACGCGGATGGGCTGGTTGTCCGGGCCAACGGCCCGGCCGGACACCTAAACGTCGGTGGCTCATGGGAGTCCGACTTTCCGAATGCGTGGGAACCCACAATTCCGATTACATCCATCCTATTGGAATGTAGGGGTGTCACCCACAAAAGTGAAGGATTCCCACTAAAATCTCATGAATCAAGCAGGGGTGTATGCATCAAGGGCTAACATTTATCCATGGTGGACACCACTACAGATCAGACAGGTTTCGTGACAATCTGGCATATGGAACGACTTGAACCCATTTAAATGGAGGGGGTCGTGCAAAGTTAGGCAACACAATCCATCCGCTTTTGGTTCCCCTAACAAAATGGTTGCTTTTCTTTTAGCTTTCTTTTAAATTGCAACCAAGAGGGGGTCCGAAACCCGTTTGTGCACGTTTTGCTCAGGGTGCCCGTTTTAAATTTCAACCAAGAACAGAAGAAACTACACTTTAGGGGTCCAAATCCCCGTTTTCAGCAACTCAATGGGACACGATGGACGCGTTCCAAATTTGCCACGCGCTATCTGTGCCCAAGCCACCAAGTGGTCGCCGAATTCCCCGAGGCACCAAATCCCCACGTGCACCAGGGCCTCCTGCGTCAAGCTCTCCTGGTGTGCGCGGAGATGGACAGGGCACCACAAAATGACTTGCCATTTAGGGACATGGAGAAACGAGCGAGTCCCCTGGTGTTTGTTGCAGCTACCCCATGTTTGTAAGTTATGTTTTAAAAAAGTGAGGAGTTGTGTTGCTTATTGCTCACCTAGGTTTTCTCGGGGCCTGCAAAATTCATGCAATGCACGTCTTCCTCAGATTAGCCGTGTCAGAATCTAGACAAAAGTCATTTCCGACAAGCAACCCCCGTGTAGTCCCCTATGTCACACCCTCGCAACAACAAGCAACCATTCTTTGGGTCGGTGTTAACGAAAAGCAACAAGCGCGTTTCGGGTCCTTCATGTTAAAGTAGGACTCTTGAAATCACTGGAAAACCAACCAAACAAAATATTGCTTGCGGTTTGTGGTTCAGAGAGGATAACAGCAACAAACGGAAACTCCGCAAAGGGGTCCTTCATGTTGAAGTAGAGCTTGATCACGGTGTAGGAATGCAGTTCCGGTGTGGCAGCCACCACACGGCAGAACTTCTCCCGCTGCGGCTCCTTCACGAAGCTTCCCCCCAGGCACATCACCTCCGCGACCGGACAAGAAGGAAAGTCTGGCATGGGTCGGGGCAATCAGTCAGTCAGCCAGTCAGTCAGTCCAGTCAGTCAGTCAGCCAGCCAGCCAGCCAGCCAGCCAGCCTGCCAGCCTGCCTGCCTGTCTGTCTGTCGTTGTTTTTTTGTTTGTGTGTGTGTGTCTTTGTAGGTCTGTTGGTCTGTTTGTTGGGTTATTCACAATGGGGGGAAGGTCCCCGATCCAATCCGAAAGTCGTAGTGAGAAAGCTGGCACTACAGCAAGGCAAACCAACACCATCTGGCATTGCAAGGATTACGGATTGATTTTGATCAAAATGGAAGGGGTTTCACATGTTCTCTCCCCAACCCCCTTACGATTGTGCCAAAGTGGAGTGCCGTTGGCAAAGGCGGCTTTTCCTGTACCAAGGTTTCCAGAAAGGGAACATCATCATGAGCAGAAATTCACTCGCTTTCTCCGCTGGGTTCCCTAGCTTCCTGAAGAAAGTCTTGGGCCATCGCTCAGAGCTGTAGAACAGGATGCCCAATACTAGTAGGATTGTCGAACTAGGGGAGATACCATTAAACAAAAACAGGTAAAGGGCCAGGGTCCCGGCAGAGCTGAAGACGCCTTTCCAGCCGGCATGTTTTGAATGGTCCCGAACGCGTTGGTATGAAGACGCCATTCCCCATAAACACCTATATTCAAGGGATGGTTGAACTGGGTCCATTCGAGTGATTTGAGGGTACCCATTGTGGGGTTGGTTGGAAGGGACATTATAGGAAAATCACAAACACTCAGGTGGTTTAAAGGAGCTTATCACCAGGACCCAACAGCAATCAACTGAGAAGCCCTCGAGATGCAACAACCCCGTTTATGGTTAGTACTTGCTTTAAATTCATGGGATCGACCAGTCTAGTTGGGTGTCTCTGTTTTTTGGACACCCCCAACATGGTGTGGTGTCCTTTGGTTCAAAACCACAAACAAAAAGGTACCACTCTAACAAACAAAAACGCACCCATTTGGTGGTTTCAAGTTCCACCCACTTGAAGTCGAAACCGTCGGATTCCGATGGATCGGGTTCGCCTTGATGAGTGTATCGATCTGCCAGCGCCGGTTGGGAGAGAACTTCCTCGCGGGGAAATTAAAGGTCTAAGTTAGACCAAAAAAACCGAGCACATCTGGGGTACTCCCAAAATCATAGGTTCTGCTTCTGCACAATTGGCCTATTCTAGAATTTATAAAATCGATTGGGAGGAGATCCCAGAAAATGGACCAACAACTGCAAAGGGAACTTGATGGATGGGGACATTGACCAACATTGGGACCACATGGTGGACATTAGGCCAAGCTTGGACAAAGAATTGGCCGACCGTGTCCCAAAGTTGGGACATTGGAACATCAAAAGACCAGAATATTGGAGGACGAAAATCCCAAGAAGCAAAACCAACATCGGGGGACTAGAAACAGACGGACCGCAACGTCCACATTCTCGCGGGTTTTTTTTCCAGCTCTTCTCAGGGGCGTCTTGAAACCAAAGCTGGGACTAAGACCTAAAATGCAAAGGCCGGGATGCAGTCGCCGAGGCCTTTCCCAAAAGCTCCAACTTGCTTGTGCCGGGAGATTCGTCAGGCCATGGGCCAAACACCAAGCAAAAACACGGATGTGGGGCTATTGTTCTGCTCTTGGTTGGCTAGCTTCCTGGAGAGAAACGTGTGTCAACATAGGCCGATGCCTAACATTGCAGTTTTCCCATTGTTTTTCGGTTACACCACCAAACATGGTGCGCGAAAACAACGGACATTGACAGATCAAGCGATATCTCGCTGGGCGTCTCCACCGCCATGCAGACCTTGCTGCAAAGCTCCTCCTTGAAGTCTGGTTCCGCCACCAGGAGGTAGTTCAAGAGCTCCTCACTGTCAAGCTTGAACTCTTTTTCGGATCTGGTTTTTCGGATGACGTGCATTGTGATGGTTCAAATTCAAGTTCGTCTTCTGAGCAAAAGGTCGTTAGACCTTGTCTAGGTTTCGGGGAAGATTAGGAAGCGCCACTTGTTTCCAAAAGGTCTAAGCACTTAGGTCCCACCAAAGACCAGCCACTAGACCCCTTTGGACCCTTTGTTGACACGATCACCTTTGCGTAAAACAAAGCATTCACTGGCTAAAACCGTACGAAGCCAGCCACCGCCAGGCCCAAAGTGCCTCCCATGGGGTTTGGTCGACCTGGCGACAAAACTGACATTGGTCCTTGGTCATGCTCTTGATGTTGGTTTCGTCTGTCAAGGCGAAGGTAACATCCAGGGCACGCTTCCTGATCGATATGTCTGCGTCTTTGAGACAATCGATGATGGTGTTCCGGTGCCGTTGCATTACCTGCTGGTCCACGTTCACCACACGTTGGAGAGTTGCAAGCGCCACGTACCTGCCAAGGCTTCCAACAGTATTTCCAACCCGAAAACATCACCACCTAAAGGAAGCTCCCTTTGAAACGAGTCCAAATCGTGCTGTGGGTGTGTGTTTGTTTTTTGCAGTTGGTATCCTGTGTAGGTTGGCTTCTAAGGGCAGATGGAAGACTGACACTTTTCTTGTTGGCGGGGAGTGCCCCTATTATGTCTAAGGCAAGCCAAAGGAAAAAACATTAGGCAGCCCTCTAGGGCCTTTCGATCGATCAGCTCGGTAGACAGTTGGTCCTGGAAGGATTGCCTTGGGGCGTAGTCTCTAATCATCCTGGTTGCCTTTTAAAGAAGGCCCTTGCGGTCTGCTCATATTGCCAATCTTGACCCAGAGGCAATGAACATCAGCTTCACTTTCATATAACATCATCACCTACCTGTGAGAAAAAGACCCCAAAGCCCCGAATCACTGAATCACTGGCCCAAAATCAAACCGCATGTTTAGCTGCTCAACCCATATGTTCCAACATCCTTGTATAAACCCTTTCGGTTTTCCGTTTTTGCGAGCTGGTGTTTGCATCTTCTGGCCTCTTGCCCTGCAAGTTTAACCTCTGGGATAGGGTATGGCTCGGAACCACCATGGTAAGTAAGCAAATGGGTCGTCAGAATTAGGTGCACCTCATGGTAGCCCCCAACCCAACCCCCCCGCCCCCCCCCCCCTCGCCACTCCAAAATACTACCGGTTCATCGGGCCTCCCTCCTTGCAAAGCACTGGTCTTTGCCACCAACTCAAGGTTCACCTCAGTACCCGTTAGGGAAGTAAGGGTCTGCAAGATCTAGGAGTCTGGGTGGCGGGCATTCGCTAAACCCTTCTTCTTGCTTTCTTGTTCCCATTTTGCCCTGGGGGTTACTAAAGTCGTGATCAAAATCTGTGCATACACACATTCATGATAGAAACTTGAACCCTAATGGGAATCAAAGAGAACCGTTTGCCAGATTCTACCTTGGGTTGGAGCTGATCCAGTCCAGACTGCAAGGTTGGGCCACGTCTTGTTTAAACATGCTTAATCCACTATCCTTTCACGCTTCAAAGGGGACCAGAGGTTGGTTCGATGCACAATGCTGACCCCGGATTCATAAACCCGTCCTATTCATGCGACAGTGATGAACCTGCACTGAAAGGGGACTTGGCAATTTTAGGTGGTTCTACCTCATTTTGTCCGTTTGTTTTTCAGGAGTCTTATTATATAATCCGAGTTCCCTTTTTTCCCATTGCCCCTCCCTCCGGCCTAATGTTGTTGTCCCGGCTCAGCAAGAACCGGCCCAGGATGTTGACCCCCAATACCCGCAAGCCGCTCTCCGCCTCGATGGACATGATGGTCAAGACGCACTCGTACAAGATGGAGTTCCCCGTGTTCTTGGTGCCCTCCGTATTGGTGGCCACCTGTCCCAATGTCAGTGGGACAGAGGGGTGAAACCCAAGCGGGCTTCCAAAGATGGTGTTGAGGGGGCAAAATATCCATGGGTTCCCTCTGTTGTGCAAAACGGGGTGACTGGCCAAAAGTGGGTCCGAAAAAGGGACCTCCCGTGTGGTTTCCTTGAAACAGGGGGGCCCCAATCTTGAATTTGGGCATGCCGATTGTCAAAACCTATGCATAAGGGTCGCAAGAGCTTTGGGTGTCTCCATGGTTGGGAGTGTTCCCAACAAGTTCATGCAATTTGCCGGATTGGTATGGGATCAGTCAAATTCGTGGAAGCTGCCCCTTTCTGTGATGCTGAGGTGGGTCATCCTTCTGCGCTTTCAAGGGTGCTCCCTTGGCATCACAGGAAACAATGTTGGTCAAAATTGATCTGCGCCCTCCTTCCTGTTGTTAAGTCGTGGCAAAGAACGCTTTCGGTGAGATTTGCGCGGCATGAAAGGACATGGACGGCTATTGGCGGGCGAATCCCGTAGAAAAATCAATTTAAGGACGCCTTTGCGCCCTTGCCTGAGCAAGGATGTCATTCATCTCATCGCTGGCTTCCACGCTCTTCTCGCCCAGGATGCGCAGGAGCCGCAGGATCTTGCCCTCAGGGCCAACTACTCTGGAACCCAACAGGAGGACCCCGCAAAAAGCCCCCCCCCGCAAAAACAACAACTTTACAACACAGTTGCACACGCTTGTCGCCTGAACATAACGTAATCTGCGTTTATTCTAACCGCACACCTCCAAACCAACGAGCCAAACCTGGACTGGAGCTGACAGGGTGAAAGCTGGCCGGATCCGACCCCCGCGCCTGCAGGAAGGGGTCCGTGATCCCTGCCACGTCGTACTCCGCCGCGCTGGTGTAGCCGGAGGTCACCATGTTCCTCCAAGGGATCCATTTCTTATTCGGGGAAAGACGTGGAAGACGGGGATGGTGGGGATGGTGGGGAAGGTGGGCAGCGGTGAAGGTGGATGGTGGGAAGGTGGCGGGCATTCTACTGGGGATGGTGAGGATGGTGAGGAGGGTGAGGATGGTGGGGATGGTGGGGATGGTGGGGGCAGGCATGCAAACACTTTCCCACCTCAAAAAACACACCACATGCCTGTCATTCACACCAGCTTACTTGCGTGGTTTTACATGTCATCATCACAAGCTACTTCAGAGCCTGGAGAGATGTTCATGGATCTGCCGGTGCAGATCCCATGCCACCCTCCAGGCTGCTGAGTAGCCGGGGTCAAAGTGATGGGCATACCTGTTCAAATGCGCAATGCACACCAGTGACCTATGCACCTGAGCATCGTGGAAAGCCCTGACCATCCCTCCCCCTGGCAAAGCCCGCACTCGCACCCACAGCTGAGGGGGATGGCGGCCAATCCCCCTCCTTAGGAGGTGAAGACACATGCACTTCCAATGCGGTGGAGACCGGGGTCTCCACCGCGTGCAATAGTGGCACATGCCAAACCCCGGAGGTGGGACCCAAGCTGACCAGTGCGTTTGCATGAACTGGTGCAGCCTATAAATGACCAAGCAAAGAAAGCGCCTTGCCCCCCCATGGGCCAGAGGCCACTCCCAAGTCAAGAAGGGCTGCATCAGCCTCAAGACAATGGGCAGAAGACGGGGGACAAACAAGGCCCCAAGGTAGTCCTGAACGACCCACCTTCTCCCTGCAGGAACCAACACATGATTCCTGCCCTGAGGCCGCAAAAAAAGCTGCCTTCCAATCTCCAGTGGATCCCCATTCCCTTGGAGATTGGGGATCCAGAAGTACCGAACATTGCGCAGAGGCCAGAGGCCAATCCCAGCCAACTGCGCAATCACCCCTGCACTGGGCCGGTCACCTGCCCTCAGTCGCTCCTGGCACAGGGGGGTTCAGTCTGTGTGTGTGTTGTTTGTTGGTGTAGTCAGTCCTGCAGCAACAGGTGGTCCACGTGGAGGTGGTTGAGGATGGCGTGGACCACCCTGGCCTCAGTCAGAACAGCATATGGCCCTCTCTCTGTCAGTGGCTTGCTTCATTGCGCAGCCAAAATCTCAGGCTGGCACAAAGGTCCAGAGCACAATGCGCGCCACGCCAGCCCTCCCCTGGCCGGCCCCCCCGCGGGCTCGTGCCCCCACGGGGTAAGCCCGGCCAGGCGCACCAGCTCTCTTAGGGGCCATTGCAGCGCAGTGGTGGTGGTGGTGGTGCTGCTGTGTTGGTGGTGGTGGTGGTGGTGGTGGTGGAGGGTGCTGCTGCAGTTGCTGCTGCTGTGTTTATTGCTGTGGTGGGGGTGGTGGGGGTGGCGGGGGTGGTGGGGATGGTAGGGGAAGGTCGGGATGGTGGCGTGGTGGGATGGTGGGGATGGTGGGGATGGTGGGGATGGTGGGAATGGTGGGGATGGTGGGGGTGGCGGGTGTGGTGGGTGTGGTGGGGGTGGCGGGGGTGGTGGGGGTCGTGGGGTGGCGAAGGTGGTGGGGGTGGTGGGGGTGGCGGGGGTGGTGGGGATGGTGGGGAAAGGTCGGGATGGTGGCGTGGTGGGACGGTGGGGATGGTGGGGATGGTGGGGATGGTGGGGATGGTGGGGATGGTGGGGATGGTGGGGATGGTGGGGATGGTGGGGATGGTGGGGATGGTGGGGATGGTGGGGATGGTGGGGATGGTGGGGAAAGGTCGGGATGGTGGGGGTGGCGGGGGTGGTGGGGATGGTGGTGGGGGAAGGTGGGGATGGTGGGGACGGTGGGGGTGGTGGGGATGGTGGGGGTGGCCGTGGTGGTGGGGGTGGTGGGGGTGGTGGGGGTGGTGGGGGTGGTGGGGGTGGCGGTTGTGGTGGGGGTGGTGGGGTGGCGGGGGTGGTGGGGGTGGTGGGGATGGTGGGGAAGGTTGGGAAGGTGGGGATGGTGGGGAAGGTTGGGAAGGTCGGGAAGGTCGGGATGGTGGCGTGGTGGGGATGGTGAGGAAGGTCCGGATGGGGATGGTGGGGGATGGTGGGAATGGTGGGGATGGTGGGGATGGTGGGGATGGTGGGGATGGTGAGGATGGTGGGGATGGTGGGGATGGTGGGATGGTGGGGATGGTGGGGATGGTGGGGATGGTGGGGATGGTGGGGATGGTGGGGATGGTGGGGATGGTGGGGATGGTGGGGATGGTGGGGATGGTGGGGAAGGTTGGGAAGGTCGGGAAGGTCGGGATGGTGGCGTGGTGGGGATGGTGGGGGTGGCGGGGGTAGTGGGGATGGTGGGGGTGGTGGGGATGGTGGGGATGGATGGGGGAGGGTGGGGATGGTGGGGATGGTGGGGATGGAGGGATGGTGGGGATGGTGGGGATGGTGGGGGATGGTGGGGATGGTGGGGTGGTGGGGAATGGTGGGGATGGTGGGGTGGGGATGGTGGGGATGGTGGTGGGGGGGTGGTGGGGGGACGTGGTGGGGACGGTGGGGATGGTGGGGGGATGGTGGGGATGGTGGGGATGGTGGGGATGGTGGGGATGGTGGGGATGGTGGTGGGGATGGGGATGGTGGGGATGGTGGGGATGGTGGGGATGGTGGGGATGGTGGGGAAGGTTGGGAAGGTCGGGAAGGTCGGGATGGTGGCGTGGTGGGGATGGCGAGGAAGGTCCGGATGGGGATGGTGGGGGTGGCGGGGGTAGTGGGGATGGTGGGGGTGGTGGGGATGGTGGGGGAATGGTGGGGATGGTGGGGATTGTGGGGATGGTGGGGATGGAGGATGGTGGGATGGTGGGGATGGTGGGGATGGTGGGGATGGTGGGGATGGTGGGGATGGTGGGGATGGTGGGGATGGTGGGGATGGTGGGGATGGTGGGGATGGTGGGATGGTGGGGATGGTGGGGAAGGTTGGGAAGGTCGGGAAGGTCGGGAAGGTCGGGATGGTGGCGTGGTGGGGATGGCGAGGAAGGTCAGGATGGGGATGGTGGGGGTGGCGGGGGTAGTGGGGATGGTGGGGGTGGTGGGGATGGTGGGGATGGTGGGGATGGTGGGGATGGTGGGGATGGTGGGGATGGTGGGGATGGTGGGGATGGTGGGGATGGTGGGGATGGTGGGGATGGTGGGGGTTGGAAGGTCGGGATGGTGGCGTGGTGGGGATGGCGAGGAAGGTCCGGATGGGGATGGTGGGGTGGTGGCGGGGGTAGTGGGGATGGTGGGGGTGGTGGGGATGGTGGGGATGGTGGGGATGGTGGGGATGGTGGGGATGGTGGGGATGGTGGGGAGGATGGTGGGGATGGTGGGGATGGTGGGGATGGTGGGGATGGTGGGGATGGTGGGGATGGTGGGGATGGTGGGGATGGTGGGGATGGTGGGGATGGTGGGGATGGTGGGGAAGGTTGGGAAGGTCGGGAAGGTCGGGATGGTGGCGTGGTGGGGATGGCGAGGAAGGTCCGGATGGGGATGGTGGGGGTGGCGGGGGTAGTGGGGATGGTGGGGGTGGTGGGGATGGTGGGGATGGTGGGGATGGTGGGGATGGTGGGGATGGTGGGGATGGTGGGGATGGTGGGGATGGTGGGGATGGTGGGGATGGTGGGGATGGTGGGGATGGTGGGGAAGGTTGGGAAGGTCGGGAAGGTCGGGATGGTGGCGTGGTGGGGATGGCGAGGAAGGTCCGGATGGGGATGGTGGGGGTGGCGGGGGTAGTGGGGATGGTGGTGGGGATGGTGGGGATGGTGGGGTGGGGATGGTGGGGATGGTGGGGATGGTGGGGATGGTGAGGATGGTGGGGATGGTGGGGATGGTGGGGATGGTGGGGATGGTGGGGATGGTGGGGATGGTGGGGATGGTGGGGATGGTGGGGATGGTGGGGATGGTGGGGAAGGTTGGGAAGGTCGGGAAGGTCGGGATGGTGGCGTGGTGGGGATGGCGAGGAAGGTCCGGATGGGGATGGTGGGGATGGTGGGAATGGTGGGGATGGTGGGGATGGTGGGGATGGTGGGGATGGTGGGGATGGTGGGGATGGTGGGGATGGTGGGGATGGTGGGAATGGTGGGGATGGTGGGGATGGTGGGGATGGTGGGGATGGTGGGGATGGTGGGGATGGTGGGGATCTGTCCTGTGGTTCAAAGAACCAAACCACAACCAAAAAGAGGAGTTTCCAGATGGGTGTGTCTCAAAATAGGGGGGCCCTACAAATGGTGACGTTCCCTTTGGTTTTCCTGAAAACCGTTTAAGCACCTCAAAATTGGGTTTCCTTCAAACAAGGCACCCAGCCAGCTTTCGCCTCACCCGAATCCATGCGCCTGGCCTCAGGGCGCGCACCAGCGACGGGATGTAGCGCCGGAACTCCTTGACGTAGGACGGGTTCACCTCCAGCAGCGCCGTCAGCAGCGCGCAGCCGCTGAGCAGCACCCCGTGGTTCCGGTCCTCCAACCTCGATGCTTCCCCTGGATGCTTTGGGTTGGCGGTTTTTCATGGCTAGGGGTCGTCTCCCATTTACCCTCTAAACCAGGGGATCAAATCCCCAACCACCAATACCAACCACCAACTAAGGTAACTGGATCAATCCATCCTCCGAAACAAAAGCAAATCAAATGGTTGCCGCTTACAGGGACAATGGTGTGCCATTCTGCAGTTGGTACACTGTGTTTAAGGTGGCCAAGAAATGACAGTGAAACTCTTTAAACAAAAAATGGGGTGGGGGGTGGGGGGGTGGGGGGGGTACCCTATTTTAAGACACACCCAAATGAAGAAAACCTGAAAAAGCTGCAAAAAGTGAGTAAGGCGATTTGGCAAGCTAAGTCTGGCAATGTGGCAAGCTCCCGATCTTGCCGTTGAACTTGTCCTCTATCTCCTGAGCCGCCCGGTGGTTCACAGAAACACGGTTGACTTCCCCACACAGCACCGGAACTGGGCTTAAGCCTTGCAATCAACCAAGAAGCACCGGACCATCCCCCAATTTGGCTCGAAGCTGTGGTTGGCGGACAAGTTTGGCTTCCATACCAACTACCTCCCGTTTTTGCGCCTGCTTCAACTGGTTGAGCTGCGGGACAAGTTTGGGTTCCATACCAAAAGACATCCAGTGGACCCCTGAGACGAAAAGGGTGTCATTGCTCCACGAGGAAGCAACTACCAGATTTAGAGAATCCATGTGTACTTTGCTTCAAAGGGAACCCTGATCTTCTGTCTGTTCCGTTTACCGGTTCGGAAGCCATTTGAAACAGGAACCCCCGGCAATTGCAGGCGGGCCACTTCCTGGAAACATCCATCGGGGTGTGTCTTTTTGTGCGGGTACCCCCTCTTCGTGGTTTTAAAGGGAAACCACAAGGAAACAGTTTTCGACTGCTAACCCTTCAGGGGCACCGGTTTCGACCGGAAACCGGCTGATGCAAACAACTCGGCAAAGCCGGTCCTCCACCTTCCGGACGATGCGCATGGCGCACAAGGCCGCCTTCTTCTTGAGGTAGGGGTTCGGCGACGCCATCAACTTTTCCACCTCGGCCCGGGAAAAAGTAACGCCCCCAGAACCACCCAGAAACCAGTTGCCCGGTGGTTTTTAGGGAATCCTTCTGGGGCTGACCGTGTGACTGTGGTTGGTGGATAACCAGAATAAAATGCCACTGAACAAGTGGGAAAAGCGGGCTTTCATGCCGTTTCCTCCGAAACGTGATATTCATCACATGTCACACCCTCAACATCTTCCCCCAAAAGTGTTTATAGCCAAACAAATGTCACACCTTCAAGCTCACCCAACAGCCCACGTCCATTTCCGAAAAAGGTGATTTTGACCGCAGCAAAAAACCTGGTCGTCGCTTTGACCGCACCCGGCCTCTCGGGCCAAAGCTCTGCACATCTCGTTGCTGCCGATGTTGCCCAAGGCGCAAAGCGCCAGCCCGTTCACGTATTGGCTCTCGTGGCCCATGTCGTTCTTGATGGAATTGGTCACCTACCGAAAAAAAGGTTCAAAAAGGGGAGGTCACCGGGTTCGGAAGTTTACAACAAAACACCCGAACAAAGCGCAAAATAGCCATATCAAGCGTTTGCTCAAGCTTGCTGACTAGGAGCCTGCAGCCCTTCAGCACTTTTCAGCTCTCTTCAGTCAACCCAACAAAATCCACACAAATCCACCAAATTACTCAATTCCTCCAAATGCGCCAAAAACCATCATCCACCATCAAATCCACCAAAGTCCCACAAGTCCACCGAAGTCCACCAAACCAACCAGCACAAGAGTCCAGTTAACCCCGTCAATGTTTTGAACATCCACCAGAACTCAGCCAGAAAAAATAAAGGGGCGAAGTCTTGCTACCATGTCCATACAGCAAGGCAACTTTGGATACGCCCTGGTCCATAACAGCTCCCGTCCAACCACCAGCCGGTGGCCCTTTTCCCTCGAATTCGCCCTACTAGTTGTTGGTGCTGTTGTTTTGGTCGTGAAGCTAAGAAGCGGCTTCCCATTCCGGTTCAAATCGAAATGTCCGAGCCACCATTTTGGGGAAAGCGGGAAGCCGAGTGACCAGCTCGGTTTCTTCAAATCCAAGTCCAACTCCAAAGAAAGAAAGGGCTGATTACCTGAGACTTTCTCCGAGGCGCCAACATCAGGACCTCGGTGTTCTCGTCCAGAAGCTGCGTGAGGCCCAGGTAGCCCACCCGCTTCTCCGGGAACTTGTTGGAGGCGATCAGCTTCAAGCACTCCATCTGACCGAAGTGGGTGGGGTACCCCATCCTTGGAACGTGTGGTGTGTTGTTTATCTGGATGTTCTTTTAATGAAAGAAACAACGTATTATGTTTTTGTTGGGGTGTTTATAAGCACCTGATAAAGAAGGTGATCACCTTCTAGAAAGGCGAAAAGGTCGACTATGGCAGTGAGCAGCATGTGGATGAACAACAGCTTGGCCACGTTCCGGTGTCTGAACTGATTGTCATCCTCCTCAAAGCAAAAAAAAAGGCAACCAAGACTCTAGACCATTTGGATGGACGTTCCGTACGCGAGGAGGTAACCATGTTGGGAGGTCCAATCAGCAAAACGTCATAGCCATCAAAGCTGCTTCGGTGGACAACACGCTAAATTCCACTAAACATGATATCCTCCCACCAATTAACATGGAATTGTGCAGACTTCCTTTCAAAATGAAAGTAGCCCAAAAGGGGCCGGTTTGTGCACCAAACCATGTTTGCTGGGAGAACATTTGGGCGTGTCTCAAATTAAGGGTCTGGGGTCTGCAAATTGTGCTGTCCTTTCTGCCGATTTGCCTTGTCCCTAAAGGGTTGGGGGGACCAAAGTCTTGAGCCACAATTGGATCGTCAACCTACTTAGTAATTAGTAAGCAGGGCTTAAGCTCGTTTGACACCCAAGGGAAAATTCAAGCACTTAACAAAAAGCAAAAACAGGAGCCACACCCACCCACCACCAAACCTCACCCAAAACCCGCACAAACTGAGCCCCCTTTGACTCGAGAAAACCGCCCAAAAGCAGGTCCTTGAAGGCGGTCCGGATCAGCGCGCATTCCCGCGAGATGACCCCGCGCTCCTCCGCCGCAGTCTTGCAGGCGCGGATGCTGCGGATCAGCTCACGCAGCTTGATGGACATGACGAATCCCAGGCTCTCACAGTCTACGCGGGCAACGGGCGTGAGCCAAATCGGAGGCAAAACTAACATACCAGAAACCGGCAGGGACATCCAACCTCCGGGAGGGCCCCCTAAAGGTGCCCGACAATATGACCAACCTTTGCAATACTCAAAGGGAACCGGACTGCCTAAACAAACATGATACGCCTGTGCTGGCCTTGGGTGTGTTCTTTGGCACATCACGTAAACGGACGAAAATGAGATCATCTAACAAGTGCCAACCAAGTCACACGGAAAAGATTGACGCTCGGCAAGCCGCATGAACACCGGAATATAACCACCAGAAACTGATAAGATTGCACTACCCAAAAGCAATTCCCTCAGCCTTCGCCCCAAACCCAAAACTCGAAACCCCGAAGCCCGCAAACCCCTTCAAACCTTTCAAGCCTGCAAACCTTGAACTCTCAAATCTGACGCACTGACTCAGAGCCATAGCAAGAGAGACACTGCAATCTAATGGTGACTGGTGCCTACCAGGGCCATGAAGGACCATTGCGGTCCATGTGCTTATGGCTCCCCTTGCTGTAGCTCGGAACCAGCTAGAAAAATCCTCTACGCCCTTCAAGGCCCCCATGCTGTGTGTGTGTTTGCAAATCAACAAGCGCCTCCCATTTCAGGGCCTACTTTGACACATATCCAGATGCTCCAAACCTACCCCCAACTCCCCAGCGCTCCAAACCTCACCCGTTGACTCGCGCGCTCGCGCCTGCTTCATGATGGAGTCGTGGCTCTTGGGCCTCGGATCGGGAAAACGACAAACAAAACGCGGGCTGCCACCGTGTCAACCATCGTGGGCACCCCACAAATGGTGGTGGTTCTTTTTGGCTTCCTTTGGACCTTGCAACAAACCAAGTATCCTCCAAAACAACACACACACATGCATGGTTTTTTGCCTTGCACCTCCACAGGAAAATGTATGGGGTTGATCCTTTCTTTCACTTGCATGGCCAACGGTTGATTCCCTACATACTCCCTGCAAGTAAGTATGGAAGCCAAAAAGTCCTCATTTGTAGAGAAATATGTTTTTTGCACAATCCCTTTTTGCAATGGGTTCCATGATAATTGCAGAGGGGATTGCAAGGAGGGAAAAAGTCGGCACCCCGGTATACTAGGGATGAACTAAGATTCACATCTTCCGGAAAAGTGAGCCTGCTGGAGGTGGTGCTTCTTCCACGCTGGCCACATCTGCACTCCTCAAAATACAAGGGTCCCGCCGCCATGGCTTGGCAGAAATCTTCTTCCATGCCCCGAACCCCAAATCGACTTTTCGACTAAAGCACATTGACGTGTTGACGGATCCTCGCTTGGCAACGGAGGTCCGTTCAACACTGGCCTTGAACAGGGTTCCCTAATGCCAACTTCGGAAAAAATATGGAGGACGATACTAATCAGGGGAATCCCCTGCACTACTACAAAAGAACAGCCCTAATTAATATCGCCCTCCGGATTTATCTGAAGTCAACAGTACATCTCCAGCCTCCATGAACACCATCCCACCAAAGGACCAAAAGGACGATCGCTGAAGATCGGCCCAAAAGGTGATGTGTAAAACCACCCAAGATAAGAAATCGTGGGACCCCTGCTGAAATTGGCCGAGGGTTGGCTGCAAGAAGGGAAGCTCCTTTTCCAAATAAGATGTCCCGGCTTATTGACATATAGATCGGCACCCTCCTAGATTCCGTCCCAACGACGAGAATACATAGGTGAGCAGTGCTGTACGGGGAACTTTAGGAAGGGCGCAATTAAGTTTATGAGATCAGGAAAGAAACGATTTATGTCTTTCCCCGATTGACACGGAACGTCGGAACGCTATGCGGCCACGAGCACGCATCAGCGACGGGACCAATGTCCTTCCGGCCGCCCTGGCAGTGGGCCCACTGTGCAAGCGCTGCGGGCCTGTAAAGGGAAGCAACAAACCAACAGGGTTTATCAACCCGAGGTCAATGTGGGGGGTTCAACATACTCCCTGCAAACAAATATACAACTTAACAAATCATCAGTTTTCGAGGAAGTGCTCCATGTCAATCCGGCGAAGGGCCCCTGTTGAGACCCTGGTGGCATCTTGGTGCCACCTTCACGGGTCCAGAAAGCGGTCTGTGGAATTGAAACCACCCATTTAGGCTCTACGTTTGGGAGACCCCCCCCCCCCTTAAAGGCCCCACTTGGATGTCTGGCCAAGTCAGTGAGTGGTTAGCCTGTCGGGGTATAACCCCCTGACAAGGTTAACCTGGGCGGACTTACGGGTGGGTTAAAATCGAACGGTTACCAACAACTTACTAACTTGGCAACGAACACCAAAAAAGAAGGGGTCCCGCTTCCCTGGTTCGAATCTAAGCTGACATCGTCCATGTTAGCGTCGGACGAGCTAGACTCCCAGCCTTCTTCTTCAGCATCGTCTGGCCGCACACGCAAGGGGGTTGACTGCATCTCGAAAACAGAAAAGGATTCGCCAGGTCCCCCTATTTTGAGACTCAGCATTGGGGAAATAGAATTTGACTTAATCTCAAAAGGTGTGCTTCTTCACCCTGGTTTCCCTTGACACTATTGGCGGCCGACGGAGCATGTGCCACTCGACTGGTGCAACACTCTGTCTCACGACATGCAACATGCGCCCCATGACGGCAAGGAACTTCTGGAACCTTTGCATTGGCGCGTTTCGTAGCAAGAACTAACTCATGAATGGACTCAGCTCAGTATCCTCTTCAGTTCAGAATTGATCAAACGGGTCTTTGATTGGCCAGACATGGAACAACTGATGTGTTTCTCTAAACTGGGGAACCCCGAAAATGGGTCCCTTCAAACGCAAAACATGGCAAACCAAGCCCCCAACAGATCCACCCGTCCGACTCGCCCCACCTTGAGGGCGTTGCCCAGCGCTCGTTTCACCACCGGCATCCTTTGAACCTGGAGACTTGAGATGAAGCCAAGGACCTGACGCCCAAGCCCCGAACCCCAGCAGCCCACTCTGAATACAGGGCCGTTGGGTGCCAAAACAACTCTCAACGGTCTTAGGTTTTGTAGGGAAGTTCCTGCCCTGCAAAATGAATACGCCCAAAGACTTAGCCCACATGGCCTCACAAAGCACGCGGAAATCAGTCACAATCATCCCTGCCAGCACCACACCAGTTCCCTCTGTCTCATGACATGGGTGCTTGGCTTCAACAGAAGACAGAAGCCTGAAGCAGCTTTCAGCCACCTGAAGGACAAACAATCCCAGTCGGTACTCCCGACGCTGCGAGGGAATCACATGGCACAAGCATCCAGAGTCTGCGATTCAACCTGCACCAGCACGCTGCACCATCACTTGGCACCAACACCCCTGACAACACCCGGGAATCACCTGAGTTGTTTCTCTGAGAGACAGCCCCGACAAATGCATTCCAACTCGTGCCTAGGTTAGCACAGCTATTAACAACAATACGCGACAAAGCGGAACCCGGCCACCTTCTTTGCCTTCGTCTGCACCTGTCCAGCTGCGCGCAACATGCAAGCGGCCAGGTGAATTCACAATACGAAGCAGCCTGGTCCCTTTGCCTAGTCGTCGTGTTGGGGACGGGTTGAGCATGCCCAATTCGTATTTTGTTTGGGGGGAAGTATTCTCAGGTCTTAAAAGGACAACCCACAGAGCGCGTTGCTTCGACCCTCGCGCAAACTTCGGCCTGCTTCCCCATGGCCTCGCCTCGGCGGTTGAAGCCCGTTCATGCCAACTCGACTTCGTATGAGGGCGAGACTAAACCAATCAAAGGAATCACCTGAAGACGGAAAAATGGAAACAGCCCATAGTATGGTCCTCAGGATCAATCCATTGAATTGTGAAACACGTCGACTTGCTGACGTGATCGGCGGGAACTGACTAGGAGCAACCACATTGCCCCAGTTCCCCTTTTCATAAGCACTGCGCAGTCTGCTGGATATGGATGTCCAAAAATAGTGGACGCATTTTCGGTTGATATTTTAAAGGGAAAACAACACGGACATCTGGGAACACACTTCGCAACCCATGGATTATGGAATCTTGCGGATTTCCTACTAACAACCCACGGACTCGTGGTTTGGAGGTTAGGTAGTTTCCCATGTCTCCCCAACAAGGGGTCCAATCCCAAACCAATCCACACCGCCGTTTAAGGGTTGCCCAGCCGGACTTGCAGCGATCCAAGCCCCGCGCGGACTGGCGGACTCGAAGCGCGCAAGCGCCGGACTTGAGCCGAGAGCCCGCGGGTGAGAAACAAAATCCCGCGGACCGCCGGAGAGGGCCAAAATCCCCGAACTCAAATCCCAGCACGAAGGTTCTTGGAGCCTTTTGGGAGGGCTCTTCGGGCGAGCTGGCACCTTTTTAGCGGGCCCGGAGGAATGGCAGAAAGGCGGCCCAAACAAAACTAATCACCTTTTTTGTTGAGAGGGATGAGCCCATCTTGCCTTCCGAAGTACCCTCCAACCATTCTCCCCAACGGCTTGGCGCACGAACCGCGGACTGCTTTACTTTGTCAAATGTGTGCTCCAAAGAGTGTCAGAGCAATTCTGTGCCTTGTCATTCAAAGGCCAAAGGAGTCTGCAAACCTACTGTGGACCTGGCCTTTTCCGGGTCTCCAACAGCCCCGCAAACTTGGTGTGATCCAAAATGGTGGGCCAAAATATAGGTGTTTTGAAAGAGAAACCAAGAGGAAACCAACTGCCTGGTGTCCAAGCAGGGTGGTCACAGTATGTGTCCCAGGCAGCAAGCACCACGGGGAAATCCCTCAGTGGCCAGGACATGCGGATGTGCCTTTTTGAGTGGTCCCTTTTGGTGTTAAAGGAACAAGTGTTGCACCCAAGTCCTCAGCACGAGTGTCACCTCCTTTCACGGTTCAAGGGGCAAACCCCCTTGCATTTTGTGGGCTTCTTAACATGGTGGACCCCCTTTCGGCTGTTAGTTACAGGGAAATCAAGATGACACCAACCATTTTCGGGGGACACGATCATTT